CTCCTTCACTCGACTGGTTCCAGGCGTCATTGGACCGAACGAGTCCAAGAGCGGAACTTTGCGCTTCAGCTTCTTCTCCTTGGCGCTCTTCAATGGAGCTTTGCCGGTCCACGGTCTCGGCATTGTGGGCGGCGCGAAGGGCAAGAAGGCCGGTTCGCGAATGGCCAAAGGCTTGACCTTTGGGGTCTCGGAATAGCTGTACTGGAACTCGAAGGGTGCGCCGGGGAGGAGATACGACACGCCGTTTTCGCCAATGACGACGGCTCGGTCGCCGTCGGAGGAGATGACGCCGTCTCGTACGGGCTTGTAGTACTTGGTGCGGCGGTGGACGGTTTTGAGGGCCGGGTTGGGAGGGGCATTCTGGGACTTTTTGAGGGGAGGAGGGTATTTGGGAATTGGGATTGGTGGGGAAGGAGAAGCAGAGGTGGTGCTGGAATTTGGGTCGTTTGGGGGTGGGTTTGAAGGGAGCGAAGAGAAGAGGTTGAAGCCTGGTAGTGATGCAACTATGGCCATGGAAATTCAAAACCCAATAAGCCAAATCCTCTTATTTTACCTTTTCATGTAGGCACGCCAGGCAAAATGGAGAAGAAGATAGGATAAGCTTCCATGGAGTTTTCTGGTTTTTCTGTTGCTTTTGCCTCCACTGAAAAGAGACGGATGATATTTTGAGTGGGGGATTTTTCATTTCTCGCACGACATCTATTTTTGCGTCGTTTTATTTTTATGAACTTCCGCGACCACATCAACCCTCATGTGCCCGCACAGCAGCGAATCATGAGCGTACGCCTCTCCCCCGAACCCTAGACTCTAACCAATATATAAGCATAAAGCCTCCATTTTGCCAAGTCCCATTCATATCCCCTGCGCCTCCTTCTCCTACTCTGCGATTCTGAGGCCGCAAACATGCAGATCTTCGTGAAAACCCTAACGGGTAAGACCATTACCCTAGAGGTCGAGTCCTCTGACACCATCGACAATGTGAAGGCCAAGATCCAAGACAAGGAGGGCATTCCCCCAGACCAGCAGCGCCTCATCTTCGCCGGCAAGCAGCTCGAGGACGGCCGAACCCTAGCCGATTACAACATCCAGAAGGAATCGACCCTCCACCTTGTGCTTCGCCTCCGTGGTGGCGCCAAGAAGCGTAAGAAGAAGACCTACACCAAGCCAAAGAAGATCAAGCACAAGAAGAAGAAGGTTAAGCTCGCGGTGCTCCAGTTCTACAAGGTTGATGATTCTGGAAAGGTCCAGAGGCTGAGGAAAGAGTGCCCTAATGCTGAGTGCGGAGCCGGGACTTTCATGGCGAACCACTTCGACAGGCACTACTGCGGCAAGTGTGGGTTGACCTATGTTTACCAGAAGGCTGGCGGTGATTAGAGATTTAGAGTTTTAAATTTCAAATATATCATTTTGGATTTAAATTTTGCTGCTTTTTTTTTATGATGGTATTTTCGGTTTCAATTTCATGCTTGAAAAACCTCTGAAATTTTAGGTATTGTCGTTGTTTCAATTGCATATGCCAGATGGAATGATTATCCTAATATTGTTATGATTCGTGTTCTATTGTTCATTGGCTGATTGATAATTGTGAAATGATGATTGTTTTTGTTTTGAGAAAGTTAAGTCACACACAGGTTTTGGTAATGGAATTGCGTTGGATTTAATTTGCAATGGGTATGGTTTCATTTGCTTGTCGGGTTGATATCAAAGAATCTTGCTGGTCTTGTGTTATTGATTTTGGTTTAGTTTTCTGAGAGGGATGTTCTTATATATATATATAAGTGGATTGCCATGGCTGAGTGTGACCAAACGGGGAGCATGTAGTTGTAGTGTAGTTTTTACATCTTTTACGCTGAGGCAGAGGACCATCTTCGCACATATAGCTCCCTGTTATCTAAATGCTTGTTATGTTGCCGATGATTAGAATCTATCTGGGTTTCTTAAGAAGGTGAATTGGTCAAGACAAGAAGTTTGTCAGTCATGATATCTCGACTACTGCGTTTGTAGGGGATGGGTTAATAATCCCTTTGACTCAATCAAGCTGGGCTCAACCCAAAACTTGAGTTGGGCAATAAAATCTCCAAATAGAACATTACATGCTAAATTGCTGCCCCAGTTGATACCATGTTGTGGGATCTTAAGTTGGCAATGTGGTACCATGTTGATTATTCTGCATAATCTTAGGATTGTCATTTTAGTTGTAATCAACAATGGTGTTTCAACTGAACCTAGAATTACACTGCATTACTTAACTTATCAGAAATTATAACGAGATACAATCTTCGTGTTGTAATCATCCATGCCCAAAAGAACAAGAATGGAAAGGAACTAAAAAAATTTACAAAGCTCCATTGAAAGTGGTAATGTCTTTGTACCAACAATCTGCAATACTACTTTCATTTCACTGATTTCACCAATGAAATTCGCGACATGTGATAAGGTTTAGAAAGAGTTGAGATTCCACGCGCTATAGAAAAATTCAGAATTACTTCTAATTTATAGAAGCACAATTACTTCTAATTTATAGAAGCACTTTCTGGAGAAGTGCTCCCAAGTATGGCTAATGAAAACTTTTTTATAATAAAGTAGCGCGCTAATGAAAACTTCAACTTTTTTATAATAAAGTGATTTCGCTAGAAGCTCTTATGAGCTGAAATATGTCCTAGAGTAACAGTACCAAACAGGCCGAAAAGTTTGAAATCGATGGACATTTGTCTGTGGCCCAAGAATTTACGGGAGCCCTTTTGGATTGGAGCGGTGCCCAAATTATGTTGATCCTATCTGAGAGATCCAACGAAAGAACCCCAGAAAAAGGGTTCAAAAGGGCCCTTCATTCTTATCAAACTGGCCCATAATCTGAACCGGCCCATAGACTGAAATGGGCCTGACAATATTGATCTCAACAGTGTGCAGAACAAACCGGATGAAGAATGATAGCAGGAGTAGCCCATGCATTCCAGTGTTTTTTTTAGGCTTATTATCACAAAAGGTCCCTAAGGTTTACGAAACTATCAGATTGCATCCTTAATGTTTTTTTGTGTCACTCGTGGTCCTCAAGGTTAGTATGTATAATCACAAATGGTCCCTGCCGTTAGGTTCCGTCAAAAACTCTGTTAGTTTGCTGACGTGGCATATATACATATCACAAAACATCCCTAAGGTTTACACATCTATCACAAATGGTCCTTGCGAATTTTTTTAATTTTTTAATTTAAAATTCATAAAATTTTGGTTTTCTTTTTTATATTATTTAAAAATATATATTGTATTTTAAATACATATGACACTATATTTTTGAAGATGTGGGCTCCACATATATGCCACACCAACAAACTAATGAAGTTTTTTTAAAATAATTTAAAATTCATAAAATTTAAAAATGAAAAAAATCAAGGGTTTAGGGTTTATAAATGGTCCTCAAGGTTAAAATCCTTATATAAATGGTTTTTTCATTTTTAAATTTTTTGAATTTTAGATTATTTTTAAAAAAACTTCATTAGTTTGTTGGTGTGCCATATATGTGGAGCCCACATCTTCAAAAATATAGTGTCATATGTATTTTAAAAAAATTTGCAGGGACCATTTGTGATATGTAAACCTCAGGGATGTTTTGTGATATATATATATATATGCCACATCAGCAAACTAACGGAGTTTTTGACGGAATCTAACGGCATGGACCATTTGTGATCATACATACTAACCTTGAGGACCACTAATGACACAAAAAAACATTAAGGATGAAATCTGATAGTTTCGTAAACCTTAGAGACCTTTTGTGATAATAAGCCTTTTTTTATTACGTAGACGCTTTGGCAATTCTATCCTCAATCACCAATCTTAATGCTCAGATCTAGGGTTTTCCTTTTTTCAGTTTGGGCTTTTGTTTTTGGGCCTTCACTTTGTCTGTTATGTACTTTACTGTTTGGCCCTTTGTTTGTTTGATTGTTTTGCTAGTGTTCGGTTTCTCTTTAGCTTGTGGTTCTCCACCTTTTATAATCCTTTCCAATTTATTTGAAAAAGAAAAAAAGAAAAAAAGAAAAAAAGAAAAAAAGAAGGCCTCTTCATCTTGCCAATGCCATGAGAGGATCACTCTCCAGCAGTCCAGATTTGTGCTGCTGACGTGGGAAAAACTGATTGGTTACATGTCCAAAATTATTTTGGTCTGTCTGTCTGAGTCAGAGTTACTCTACTTGAAGTTGAATTTAATGACTGCGCGACAGCAAATGTTTTCAAACAATGCAATGCAATGCATATGAGTTTTCAATTTTCAATCACTGTGAGGAAAGTGGGGACCTTAGAGCTTCAATTCAACTCTCACTTACAGATCACATGGGGAAGGGGAAAGCTTGATCAATGTGAAAGAGTTAAAACGGTAACTGGGGCAGTAGATGCGGTCATTATGAGAAACAGCAGAAAAATATAAGCAATTGGAAAGTTACCAAAAATGCATAGCACAAAAAGCAGAGAGAGAGAGCTTCTCATGTCAAAAACACTTCCTCTCTTTCAGGAAACAGACAAACTCTAAGATGCCACTTTTCCTTCTCCATGCATTCTTCTAGAACACAGCACTTTCACTTTCATTTTCATGTGAGAGAGAGAGAGAGAGAGAGAGAGAGAGAGAGAGTCAATTATGGAGAGAAAACAACACATGAAAAACAAAGGAGCTCTCTTCCTTTCCTAATCATTTTACATCAACAATTGTTACCAGTTCTGTATTCAGGGGTCAGGGGTGTGACTGTAATTTTTCCAAGGAGTGATTAAGTAACCCCAAGACTTGAAACATTCTGAAATGCTTCAACATTTTTTAACTCATGTCATGTGAAACCTAGCACACGTCTTGACCGCAACTAAATAATCATCAAAGAGAGTTAGTGATTATTAATTCTTAATGATTTGTGTCCTTCAACTTCTATAAATCCTCTCCCTTCTATAACCAAACACTTCCCTGTGTTTTGCTCTCTCTCTCTCTCTCTCTCTCTCTCTCTCTCTGTGAAACACACACAACCACAAGCTCAAACGTAACAAACATGTCTGCACTGAACCATCTCTTCGATCTACCCGATCAGATTTGCTATGTCCAATGTGGTTTCTGCGCCACCATATTACTGGTTGCTCAACATTTGCTCTAACTTTATACTAATACATTGAACAAGAGTCATATAGCATGACTGCATTAATTCTTGGGTTTTGATCTCTTTCTTACTTTCTTTTTTTCTTTTTTGGCCAAGTTTGACCGATTGTTTCTGTGTAAAAATGTAGGTAAGCGTCCCATGCAGCAGCTTGTCAATGTTGGCCGTCACGGTCAGATGTGGTCACTGCAGTTGCCTCCTATCTGTCAACATGATGAAGGCCTCCTTTGTTCCCCTCCATCTGTTAGCTTCCCTTACCCAAGATGAGGTAACTGTTTCATACATCAATCTCATCAAATCTTGAATATCAAGTCCTAGTCGCTTTTATGTGATCATAATCGATATTACAGTACTGTTCTCTCAGTATTTATCAAGTCCTAATAATTAATCTTAATCTCTTACAGCAAAGAGAAGAACTCTGCTTAGAAGAAGTGGACAAACAGAACAACCGCCCCTTGGACATGCGCAGCCCATCCATGGTGGTTTCCAATTCTGACAATGAAGAGGAGGACACAATCTCTATGAATCCCATTGTTAACAAGCGTACGTACGTTCATAAGTCATATAAAATCTGGTGCAACTAAACTGGCTGGATTGTATTAACTTTTTTTAGTTTCTTGTTATTAAATTTATGCAGCACCAGAGAAGAGACAACGAGCTCCGTCGGCCTACAACCGTTTTATCAAGTAAGATTTGCAACTTATAATATGTTAGAAGATGTGAATGTGATGCATTTGGGAGTTTTAATAATTTTGTGACTCTTTCATGTGTAAATCAGAGAAGAGATCAGGAGGCTTAAAGCTGAGAATCCAAGCATGACTCACAAGGAAGCTTTCAGCACAGCTGCAAAAAATGTAAAGCTTTAGTTAGAGCCAAGATCAGTAATAATGAAGTTAAATCTTTTCATTAAGTGACAGTTCAATACTGGATATGCATGTTTGATTGTATGTAGTGGGCCCAGTTCCCTCCAATTCAGTTCAAAGGAGATGGTCCAGATGGCGAGAGCTGCACTAGCCAGAGAGAGGAAAATATGACATGGGATTCTGATGTTCCTGAGGTAAATATTTAGTTATTCACCATCACCATGCATATATATGATTGAAATGATTAGTGGAGGACATTGATCATGATGACCAGAATAGATATCCAACTGGAGACCATGGCCTACAAAACCCAATTAAACATCATATTTATCTGATAAATTAATGTAGCTCATGATCAGAATTAGCCATGACACATCACATACCACACCGCACCAGAATATTGAATATCCGTAAGGTTGTCACTTTCTTTGTGGTTCAACTAGTAAATGCCAAATTTATTATTTGAAAGCAGTGTCAAAAGACTCAAGGCTCCTTTTGATCCCTAGCTTGCTAGATATTATGTGTTTGTAATTATTTAAAAATTTATGCCACTCATGTATACATGCATGACTTTCTGTTGTGAAATTTTTTACAGGCCCATGAAGATGGCAAAGTTTTCCGTGAGAGAAAGGCCCCAAGGCATTCCATGTGGGCAAGGACACCCTTCGAGTGAATGAGGCTTGACCTAAACCTCTATAACAAGAAAGCTGTTTCTCTCTCAGGCCCACGATTTGGGTTGAAGTCACTTGCTATTTTAGGGTTAGATTCTCTAGGGAATGTGGTTTTCGTTTCAGATTGAACAAGTCTTCACTGACAGAAAGAAGTAGTCTTGCTTTCAAATGAGCTTACTGATTATGATGGAATATTGATCCATTTAGTTCAAAGCAGACTTAATTTTCTAGTTCTACTCTGTTTCCAAGTAAATCAAATTTCTTTATGGTTATGGACTGCATGCAATTCCATGGTTGTTGTTGTGACAGACAGCTAGATTTCCTCAACAAGGTGTGCATGAAAATTGGTTACCTGCTAGCAGAAACTCTTATAAACAGACATTAATTAATGAGACATTTCAGATTCAGGATGTGTTTTAATAATTATTTCTCATGGTTTTGCTTAAGTTTAATTTTCCAATGTGTTTTGCAGCAAATACTCATGAATCATAAGATAGGTAGATAATAAACTTCAATCATGTTCTTGAGACACAAGTGAGTGGGAGCATTTTTTATCACCACTTTAATCCAAGGTGTATCATCACCACCTTTCTCAACACTTGACAAGTGTCCATGGGAATAACCATGGTTCCACAAATACAAAGTAAAGAGTTAACTATGATTATGTCCATGAACACATGTCAAGTGTTAAGAAGAAGAGTAGTGAGGACACACCTTGAGTTAAAGTGGTGAACAAAAATATCAAAAATATTTCCTACCTTAGTGGGATTTTATCCGCTTTAACCATGGAACCTTATTTTAGCGGCTGTAATTACAATCTAGGATATTCAAAATCATACCTAGTTTTTGAGTTCTAATTAAGTAGCTTTAACATATATATGTATGTTTCAATTCACTTCAGTACTGTTTCCTTCTTGCAAATCTTGGCCCCCTTTGAATATAACTACCTGAAAAAAAACAAAATACAGCAACATATATGTATGAAATCTTGGACATTGAATGGATACATAGTTATGATATTGCTATGGTTGTGGTTAGATATACCTATATTTAATTTTGTGGGATTAATTTATGAGGGTATTGAATGCAACTTCTGAAAGAAAAAAAATAAGAAAAGTATAGATGAGCTGGGATCTTACCCATTAAAGGCCTGGGAGAGATAGAATGGAAATAAGCTTGAAAGAAGTGCCTATTCTCCTTTTGTAGCTCTCTCCACACTGCAATTCAAACATACATGTGTTGTGTGTGTAAATCAACTAACTAATAAATAATGAATCCATACATATATACATATAATGTTGGAGAGAAGAGAGAGAGAGAGAGAGAGAGTGACCTGTAAGTGTGACAATTGGCCTAATGCTTGCATGCTCTGCTAGCGCCTTTATGCACTGGTCACAACTCATGTGAAGTAGCAAGCATCTCTCTATAAGATGTTGGACCTGTTTTTACATGTATCAGTATTTCCATGCAAAAGTAAGACCATGCATAAGTCCAATGAGAGAGAGAGAGAGAGAGAGAGCGAGAGAGAGAGAGAGAGAGTATACCATTCTTATGTAGCTGCGAGGGTTGCAAAGCAAACATGGACCGAGGTGATGGTTGTGATACATTTTCTCCTGAGTCTTGAGTAGGGTTTAGACAAAACCAAAAGGCATGAATGACTGAAAAGAAGGATATAATAGAATAGAGAAGAGAGAGAGGGAGAGAGAGGTAGCAAGAAAACAAAGAAAGCCCAAAAAGTGCAAGGATGATGGGAAAGATATTTGGAGGACCATATACAAAAAAGAAGAGCCGGGATACCAAAATGGAACATTGCTATGTTATCCACAGAAATCCAAGCGAGGGGCCAAAAGAGCACAAGAAATCCAAACGATAGATTCACACCTCATCTCCAAAGAGATAACAAAACAATTGCGTTTATGATGATGGCAAGTGCGCGTGGCTAGGCCTCTAGCCACTTGATCAGGACTTGAAACCCACCACCACCCTTGGCTAAGCTAGGCCCTATCAAACCCATTTGCTACCTGTTTTTCTGTTTCCGGGTCCTACATTCTTAACTCTATATGCCCATTTCCATGACTTAATGATGTGTGTAGCTAGCGGTCCTAATTCTAAGCAACATGCTGAATATTTTTTTTTTCACTAGCGATATTAAGATAACAGATATTTGAATACATGAATTGCAAAGGCAACTGCTCTTAATCACTTCAACTAGAAATCATAATTCACATTAGTGATAACAATAATCATCACCGAGTTGACACCTGGAAGGGCATAAGTTCTTCGCTTGTAGGAATAAATAATTGCTGGCCTAGAAAACATGAACCTTGTCCAACACGGTGCATCGAATAATATGTTGCCATTGCGAGATAATGGTTGGTTTTTTCTTTTGTTTCCTTTATGGGTGCGTTTATTCCTCAAGACTTTGGCCCCAGCCTCATTGCCTTCATTACAAGCAAACATGTCATGGAAATGCATTTCCAAGTTCCAAATTCCACTATCGATGATGAGATACGGATGGACATAAAGCCAATCCACCGGATTATCAAACAAACAAGCATTTTTATAATTGATTATGCTACACACCATCAAATGAATAGATTATTGTATTGCCAACTGTTCTCTTTGTAACCCACGTTTATTTGAAAAAGTTAGCACAACCAACCACTGAGACCAACATTGTAAGCTGCAACCAAATGGGAACTTATTCCCCTAAAACATGGAGAGGTTTCCAGTTCAACTTTAATCAACCAAGTGCCAACAACCATTGCATAAAAGAAGAAGAAAAAACGCATAAAAACAAACACAATGATTTATATTCTCGAGGATTGAACTTCTTGGTTTAAAACTCAAATCTGTTTTGGTGGGTCTGTATTAGGCGTTGTTTGCTTATGACTTTGAAATTCAGCCAAGAAGAAAACATTGATGAAAAACTTGTTTGCTTATGAGAATGACGTGTTTTCCAACATACATACGACATTTCTTCCAAATTAAGCGCGAAATTGTGTGTTTTACTTAAACAAATATATATGCATCATGTTGTGCAGTTAGAATTAGGTGTCAATGCCGATGGGCCTAGTGAACTTTTACAACAAGAAACAGGTAATGAGTTGAAGGAATTTACTTCTGAGCAGGTGGGGGAAAACGAAAAGAAAATGATAACAGATGGAAAGCTGGACTGTGCAAATTAGTTTTAAAATGAACTCACATCTTATTCCTTTACCTGTTCCTTCCCACCACCATTATTCCCACCATTTTTGCTAAAAAACAAAAACGCTCTGTTTTTACAAACTGGCCAAGCAAATCCTGCATCTATGATAACATGGGCAACAAACTCAACTTTAAAGAAAGCCATCATTGTGACATATACGCATGCCAACATTATATGCAAAGCAAATAGCAATTATCATATATGCCGAGCAAGCTACAAATATTTAAAATAACACAATGCCTCGCGAGCATTCAGTCATTCATTCTATTTAACAAGTTCATACACATTACAACCTAAACATAAACTAGTGCGCACTAACATACATGCCTTAAGCGCATCCATAAGCATCTCCCCACATCTGCATAATCCTATTAGACATATTCCAACTTTCCAACTTTCCAACTAGGGTAATAAGGACCAAACACTGAAACAGACAAACAGACATGGAACATGTACCACACACTCGGGCACTTAGACAAAAATTCAAATAAAACCAGAAATCGGGTCGATTGTTACACCATATGCTTCCTCAGCTGTTTTCAGACTTCTCCAAAGCTGTAACAAAGCGCAGTGTCAGTACAAATATACTCATCAGCCAAACTTGTACTAGAATTTGTGTGTGTGTGTGTGTGTGTGTGTGTGTGTGAGAGAGAGAGAGAGACAGAGAGAGAAGTTACTATTGTAGTTCAGAAGCTTCTCGATGAGGTCGACGTGAGTCATAAGCATTCGCCGACAGCAATAACGGACCAAACCCAATGCATCAAGTGCATCTCTGCATTCAAATAAATTAAAACCATTAACTAAGTTCTCTTTCAGGGCCTAATTTTCATATCTTTATTCCAACCCTAATTTTCATAAGACTGGCTGTCTACTACCAGTGAAGACTATAAACTTCACCCAACTAATTACTATGTCAAAATTGAAAATTGAGCATTGCCCATCTACAAACCTTGTATTTCATGTCATTATAAAGCTCATTTAATCATGTGGGTTTTTCCCAAATCGTCCTAAATGCATATCATTATAAGCCCCTCGGGAATCAACTCAGAAAAAATATTGGGCTATTTATGAAAAACTAAATTATTTTTAGCGTTATATTGTGCAATTTACAACACGAAACAGCCCTATATGCTCATTCTCAACCGCTAAGGAAAACAATGCAATAATCAATGACCTTATTGAATTTCAAAAATTAGGGCAAAACACTTCAAATTTGAGCAACTCACCCTTCGGTGTAATCTGCTTGCAGAAGGTCAAGATACGTATCCCATTTGTTTCCAATCACCTAAAATTGAACATTTAAAATACCAATTTACAATTAGATGCACTCAGATCAGCCCCCAAAAGGCAGCAACTTCAGATATATCGAAACGTCTAACGAAACGAAAGGGGTTGAAATCCCTAGCCCTAAGGTTGGTTTAAGGGGCGAATGGGGGTACCTTTCCGCAGGTGAAACAGCGAACTGGGATGATCATCTTGTTTTGCCCTAAGTCTCTGGATTGTGGAGTCTCCTTCGTTCTTCAGCTCTCCCGCTCTCA